GAGTAAGGACGGGTTGTCGTGCAATCTGAGATCCTTGCGGAACCAATGGATGCTATTCRCTTTATTTTTGTCKGTTTTTTSTTGGAAAGGCAATGAAATTTACATTTTACTTAAATTTTMAAGTTTTCGGTTTTTATTGACTATTTCAACATGAAATGAATATTTTGTTTTTGTTATTAATTCCTTCTGAGTTTTCTGTGTAAAATGGATTTATTTTTAAGCAAGGTTTCGGCCTAAGAAACCATTTTCAATGTTGTAGTTCACGTGRTAATCTAGTTTACKGAGCTAACGGAAAACAGCTGAGTAGATTAGAYCAYCACCTTTACTACAACCTTAAAAATGGCTGCTTAGGCCGAAAGCTCGGTTATRAAATTAAATCAATTTTACACAGAAKACTCAAAAAATATTGATAACAATATGACTGTGTACAACGAAATTTTTAACATTGTTWAGGTTATTCGTTTTGTGTGTTSTTTTTATTTGARTTTACCTCTCTSAATTTGAATTGCTCTGCTTATATCTTGAAGATTTTCTTGGAGTGTTGTGATCTCTTCCTCGAGATTGATAATTGGCTTTTTGTAGTGGATTCCAAGCACGCATCCTGATGAGMGTTGAATGCTTTCTGGTGTCTTCCATGGCTCGAAAATATACTTAAGGGGAAGTCCACGTACTTCTGGGACGTATTTCCTTTAAGGAAGGAAGTTATATAAGGCGTTTAACGTTAAAATCGTTTTTGCAACAAGGATAATAAAATTTATGGTATGTATTGTTCTAATTGTAGATAGAAGCTGTTTTGACTGAAGCAATGAGCGGTTTGCATTTGTTTGATGATCTCTTATTTATGGCATGGCTGCTCCATTAAGTGCTTATTGTTTCTKCTGGTAGTGCAATTTAAGACTTTATTTATTTTCTATTGTGAAAAGCTACTTTTTACCTTGATTTACATAGAGTCAATTGCAGAAAAGGTTGTTGATAGAGATATGTAYATGTAAACACATACATTATGAGATTTATGATATACCTAATGAAATGCAGAAGTATTTGTAAATAAAATTTCAATTCAACCCAAACCCCCAAAACACTCTATACTAAGTACTTAGCACGTTTTACATTTATATTTATTTCTTCAAAACTGATCCCACAAAAATGTAATAAAAAATGGATATATTGTAATGGAGAATTTGTTTTAACATTTAAAAATGTGCTTTCTCAAAACCTGTATGGAAAAAACATTAGTATGATATGTTGGTATTTCTACACATGGGATTTCATCAGTTCCTATTCTCTTGGCAGTACTTTGTCATAAATTTAGATAGATGAAATTACCTATTCATGTAATTAGCTATTTTATGAATCTCCTTATATATTTGTATAGTATATATCTCAATCCACAACCTTTTTGTAAYTGACTGTATAGCTTTGCGGAGCTTTATGTTTATGACGTTTTTCATAAGCTTGCATAAATGCTGTTTATTCTTAATTTRCAAAAATATTGACTGCTTGTCTACGAACTTAGCATTAAAAAAAATACACTGGACAACTACAAGGAAATGCTTTATCTTGTTTTGGATCTTCAAGCAGTCCAAGACAATTTAACTACTAAAACGAATAATTTAATCCATGTTTGCTGACCCCATCGAGGAAGAGCAATACCAAGTTCAATTAAAAGCGAAAAATCTCTGTGTTGTCCAGCTTAATTGGTATGTCTTAACGTTAGTAAAATGTAAAATTGCTACTGAATGAAATGATCAAAATTGTTCTTCTGAGCCTCGTTTCTATTATYGGGCTAAATGAATCACAACTTCGAAATAACTTTCTTGTGAGTACATTTTGTCTCGTCTCGCAATGAAATATATATTAATTTTTACTCTCGTATGTGTCGAAAAGTATACTAAAGGTAACGAAACCATATTATCATTTTTCTTAATCATATCAAAAGTCTTACCATGGACGCAATTGCTTTTCTTAGAAAAGTTGTTTAGTTAAGAGCGGTACAGCGACTTTTCTTTTACTGATTTAGCTGTTTWGGAAAGGTTCCTACTTTTGTTGAGTAATTTGTGTGAATGGCTAGATTTATAATATGTGAAGTTCGACATCCTTCCTTTTCGGACGTATGTATTATCTTTTAAATTATTAATCAAATAAGCATACTTGATATATTCCGCATTTGGATCCAATCTCTTTGCTTCTTTAACCGGACAAAACCCCAACGGAATCGTCTTCTTGAAGAAGGAGCTTTGGGAAGACAACATGCAACTTCCTGCTACGAGACTCCATTGCGAATTCAAAAGTAACGCATCAAATGTTTTGAATCCTTTGTCCCAACTGATCCACAGTCCTTTGGTTGTAAGAAAACGACAAACGATATCTTGTGCTGTGCTGTTGATCCACCCTTCTTGTCTTAGCTGACGCATGATCGCATCAATAAGCGGAAATCCAGTGTTTCCCTAAATCAAGAAAATAAAGATATCAAAATGTGAAGAATATGCGAGTCCTGGTCGTTCTAACAAGTACTTCTTTATTTGAAAACATTTTACGTCAGACTATAACAGCAATTGTTTTCATATGCAAAATGGTATTTTAAGTGATGTACTTCCCTAGGTGCCAATCACTCTAAGCCCTACCATATTTAAAGATTGTTAACTATTGAATAGGATTTGATTAGGGTTTGATTGACGTCTTCTCTATAATTCCATAATTCCAACAAGAGTGCGAAGTAATGTCAAAACTATGACTTTTTAAAGTCATAGTTTCCTGACATTGCAAAAAAGTAAACGAGCTCAAAAAGGACAAATCTAAAAAGGCAATTCTAATTGCATTCTCAGATACGATTCAAAGTGGAGCATTGTGTTCTTGATCAGTTTAATGAATGATGTAGAATAGAAAACTTATAAATACAGTTTTGCACCATCATACCTGTTTCCATTGGTTTAATTTCTTTGTGTCCTCCTTCCATTTGATATCCAAACACATGTTGTTTGAATTTTTGAAGAAGTTGTCATTCTGGCTCGCTAGCATGAAGAAAAACTCTCTCCAATACAAGATTGAAAACATAGCTTTAGGACTCAAATCGTTGAGTGCATTCTRGAATATCAAATCAAGTGGTCATTAATGCATTTGCGCTTTTGATCTTCTAAATGTTAAAGAGCGCTATATAAGTCAATAAATTATTATTATTATTAAATTATTAATTAAATTATCATTCACGAGATAGGAAAAATGCATTTTTAGAAAATGAGTTACAAAAAACACATGACAGATGGAAAGATAGGGAAAATTAAAAAAATATTTTATGCAATTGGTACAACGCTCAACGTTTGATAAAAATCATGTTCCTAGAATCTTACCATCGACAATTCATAGTGTTCCTTGATAGAATGGTACACTGTCCTTGGGGATAGGCAACCAAAACTTATATAGGGCTCGATGCAACCTTTTCTAGAAATGAATGCCTCGGTGATCTTATCGCACTTTCCAAGATGGGTTTTCAATTGCTGGAGGATAGACATAGCAAGTTGGACAGTCAGATATAATGCTATGAAGTAGAGTCGTACATGAAAAAGAAATCACTTGAATCTTGATAATTAGACCTCGAGGCTGAGTGGACTATAGTCGAATTGGCTTTTAGTCCGTATTCCACTCGGCCGAGAGGTCTAATGTTTCTTAGTATAAGCATATTGGTTGGACARAAAATGAATGAGAAATATACAACAAAATGGTTTTATTGCTTAAAATCCGCATTTACGGCTTTAATTAAATTTGCATAAATTATCTCCGACACCGTTTGGCACACTTGGCATGTTTGTCAGGTGAAATTAATTCACTTCAGGCTGGTAAAAGCTGGTTTGAGTGGAAAAACTTGAAATGGCCCTTAACATATAATTTGACTATATTTTTTCTAAAAGAAAATCAAAGGTGGCGCTTTTCACTAGTCAAGGACTATTGAAAATAGACCCCGAGTAGCGTCCGCTAGTATGTTTATACTAAAACGTATTAGCTTTATTCTCTAAGCAAGTTCCTGAAAGATTGGGGCTATATCTTATCTATATTAGACATTAGTCAGGGAATTGTGTTAGTCGACAGAAACGTATTTTGCAAATTGCTATTAGATCAAAATCGAAATACTTCTTATTGAGATTTGTTACTACAGACTTTGAATTGATTCTCAAAATTTTTGATTTTTTCCAATTTTTTTTCATTTTTTTTATTTGGGCATTTTCCTTCTCTTCAGGTTTGTTGTATGATTTTTATGTTTTCTCTTATCATTACCTGTTCTAGATATTCTTCAAGTTTCATCAGTCCATTGTCTTCCCCTCCAACTAGCTCACCAGACATCTGTACATCATTGAGATGATACATCTGGGCAACCAAAGTCTCATCGAGCAGTTTTTCGATGTTGTATGCTGGGGTTTTACAAACTTTGGGGTATGGCTTGCTAGGGGTTTGAAGTTGTGCCACAACGTCAAGGTATTCTTCAAACAGCACTGGGATGCTGTCTCCACATACTTGAACTACTTCATCAACCTCAAACAGGGTATGAGAGGCAAACGAAGACACCTGGATTCCTAATTCACGTGCAAGATGCTCGACCACTTTCTCGTTTTGTCTTCCATATCTATCGCACGCCGTTTCAAATGTCAACTTGGTGATACCAAAGTGTTTCAGAATGAACGGGAAAACCTGCAACAGATTTCCTTGGACAACAATCAACTTAGATCCCAACTTTTGGAGGTTTTCTTCCAGCACCTTGAGACTCTGAAGAAGAAAGTTCTTTTTCCTCTGCGACACAATCGACTTGTTGAAGAAAGGGGACAGGACGTAGATGGCATAGAACTCGTCGGAATTTGCAAGGGACTCGCAAAGAGCAGGGTTGTCGTGCAAACGTAAGTCTTTTCTGAACCAGTGACAAGAAACTTGTCTGGCCATTCCTTTAAATACAAGAAATTTCGGATCTTTAAAATGAAAATGAATTATGAATTTAATGTGGCAAAAGACGAGAAAAAWCATCTAAAATCATTGCCCAAATTTGAAACAGCATTTCACTGTTAGAGATTCAGGTACATTTTTTCTGGTGTAAGTTACACATTAGGAACTCGGATAAGAACTAAAGCGTCTAAACCTTGTGCTATGTCACGGTGGCTATGCTCGAGAACTAATTAGGATGTTCTTTGATCATATTTGGTGGTCACAATTCCAGTTAAAATTGAACGCTGTCACCACAAATCAAMAACATTGCTAAAATTGAGGAGAGTTGTTGCATTTTACGTATAGTATTGTCTTCTGTTTGTTGYTTGAAGAATTTTGTAAGACCAAATGGATCCACTCTCACTCTATTAAGTATAAACTGAAAAATTTAACGGAAAAATCGAATATTCAGCTAGCATGGAACACACAAGATGGATGTTGTATATATCGCCCTCGCCTCGAATAGTCCTAGACTAATGATGGGAACTAGCGGTAAACTAGTGTGAGCTGCGTCGGTGTTTCTAAAGAAACAGTTATGTAAAAAGATAAATTTAACACCGTATTTCACATACTTTTTTACGGTGTTAAATTTATCTTTTTACATAACTAGTCCTAGACTAACTGCGAGGGCTGATTTCTATTGTAATTAGAGTGATTTAATTAATAAACTGTTGTTGTTGTTGTTGTTAAATTCCTTGAGTTTCGATGACGCTGTAAGAAAATGGCTGAATGGCGAGTAATTCATTGTGTATTTGAGTGTTGCATGCTGCAATTTTAAATCCGGCATTGTATGAACCCTCCGCTTTAGGGATTATAGCTCGCCCGCGACCTATGCTTCTAAAAAATTGCAAGTTTCCGAGATCGCAAATTAAGTGCGCTTTCCATTTGTCAGAACTGGGTGGCCAGACCCAGAGAAAATGTCATTACATATCATTCCCATTTAGTTAGGAAATTCAAATTTTCAAATTCTATCCATTATTCTAAAGAAAACCTCGAAATGACTGAAAAATGTTGACAAAAAGCATTATATACCTCTAAATAGAGTGGCCGGCCAGTTCTGCCTAAATGGAACTAGCACCCTAAGACCGCCAAATGTACACATGACAACAACTAGTAATGAAGCTCTATCTTAGAATTGAAAACATTTCATATCTAGCACGATATCTGGGCAAAAAGGACTCTTTAAAGCAATGCCTAATTTCGACTTTGTGGTGCACCGGATAAAGCTGAGAACCRCGTCTTTTGTCTTCAGTTTTCAAAATCGTCTTTTGCAAATCGAAATTCCACGTTTTATGAAGTTGGCTACCCTACATCTTTAGCATTTTAGCATTTTTGTATTTTTGTTTCGTAGAAGTCTCTACAGATCTAGCCACAGCCCCCTTTTCGAGACTTATCACAGCAAACCCAGATTTCTCACCTGCGCGTTCGAATTGCATAATGGGAATGCTGTTCAAACTTGACAGGGAGCAACCAACGTTCCTGTTTTCATAGATTTTTGTGACAAGCCACTCGCACCTACCGGCAAAAAGATTGCAGCGATTCCTTTCTTTGCAATGCAAAGCTAACTTCGTATTGGCGAAATTGTCCTAGAAAAATCGCTTCCAGCTTTTGATTTCTTTCAGAAGAGTCTCTGCCGCCTATTCGAGCTGTATAATGCAGTCCTAGGTGCTTCTGTCTCAGCAAATGACTCGAAAAATCACTTTTAAACGGTTTTTGGGCGAACTCCTTTTATGGTGTAAATTTAAAATTTGGAAATACCAAAAAACAAGCCTAAAATAAATAAATAAAWAATGTGCCATTAAAGGATTATGACCGCATATATACTTATTTGCAAAAATCCTGAAACGCTGATATATATTTAAGAAATATAAAACGTTGCACGTGTATCTGTCCTCTGATACAAACACGGTGGGAGTTGAAAAACACGAGAGAAGCAAGCTTAGTAACACGAATATATAGGGTCACATACCTACAGTCCCTGCTACCCACGCTGTCTTCTAGTTTATGACTGAAGGAAGAAAATCATCGTYTCATCTTGAAAACAAAACGGACGACGACGAGAAGGAGTCCGGAAATCAAACCGGAAACAAAGTGATAGACAATCATTTTAACCGATTTRCCATCCTTGCTTTCAATGGATGAAGTGATTGATTGTAAGGAGGTTGTATAGTTACTCTGAAGGCACAACTCCCCATTAACTGCGATAGAGCAACCAACAATGCATTTYGGTTTAGGAAAACRCCCTCGTCAGTAYATTTTAATAAAAACGTTTTCTGAATAGCTGTATATGAWAACGGTCAGTATATCTGTAAAAAATTCAATAACAAATAAAACTTGTTCCTTAATAAATGTAAAAATATTTGATCTGAAACTCTTATTTTTGAGTTGAACATCGATTGGGAGTTCCGCACAGCTCCATTAAAAAAACAACGGCCAAAACGTGTTCGATTTGAGTGTATTTCACAACGAGCCATAATCACGTGTATTATGGATAGAKAGTTATATAAGCTGAAACAGGTGATCGCATAATCAATGAGAAAATATTATGAAACTACCTCGTAARGACTGCAAGCTCACGAGGCCGGAAGCGCAACCGCCACACGTGAAGCCATATTCTTACATTAATCATGCAGTTCGAGCAAATTCGCAATTATACAGTATCTCAAATAAGTAGTCGGACAAAGCAGTGTTGAAAATTGTCAAAAGGAGATTGTACTATGAATACAGAAAAACTGAGGGTTATCAAGAACCTTCATGCAGTCTCGGGGGGGAGAGTAGAATGAATAAATAAACCACTCGGTATGGTGGGCWTACGTCTTGAGTTGTAGTATAGAGCATATTTCGAAGCACTTGTAGGCAAGTAGAAAACATAGAAAAATTAAAAAAAGCTACTGCTAGAATTCCGATAACAAAATTGATAAAAATTGAATAATGCGAAATGATTATTTCAACGMATGAACGACGATAACAAAATGAAATGTATCAATTATTGCCCTCTTTTATCATTTCAAATCAATGGGCATCTTTTTAATGTCAGTGCGTTTTATTTAGGCTTACATGGCATGATAAAATGAGAGAAGGGTCAGCAGCAAATAGTTAATTGAAAGCGTCATTGTCAAATACACGTAAAAAGAAAACCATGAAATTTAAATAGTGTATTAGCCATGTATGCATCTTATTTAGTTCGCGTTGATGACATTATAAAATTGCTTCTTTTTGTTAGATTACATACATTTATTCAATGTTTAACTTCCGCCTGTTTACTGATTTTCATTCGCATCATRCCTTAAACTTAATTCACTATGATAATCAACAAAAGCAAATGAAAACAAAGTGAGCAGTCAACTCACAACGCTAAGTTTACATTTTGACTTTTTCGAGCCTTACCTGGAAGACGTTCTCGATGGAGTTCTTCTTTGAATTTGTTTTTGTCGCGTTTAAACGATCACTTTTTGACTCTACCTCAAAATGATATCGAGGGTTTGAGCAGTGACTGSTGTAACTATTGTCTGGTTTGTTTGTGAATCTGCATATATACTAAGTTGTCTAGCTCATCCGTATCCGACAGGACTTGCGTCAAATGCACCTGCCACACTTAATGTAAGATAACACAGGGAGCCCTAATAATAAGATTGGTTGAGTGCAACCACACTGAAAGCCTTTATCTTTTTGTTCTAGAAAACAACTCTCCTTCTAATATAGAAAACGATTTATTTTATCGAAGGCACAAGYGCATCCGGGAGTCTTTGCGCGATTTTCTCACACACGAAAAATTGTCATATTTGACAAAGTAACTTCCAGAAGCAGTTCCTTCAAAAATAACAATCGATAGCTAAGATTCTGAGATACAGATGAGTCTTTAAAGCAATGAACACGAGATCAGTGTGTAGACAACCATCTAAACATAAAATTGATGTAAATCTATTTATTGAACATGTTGTCTTTTCATGAGATTCAAGTAAGTTCTGTAAAAATCTTAAATATAATTTACCGAATCGAACATCATTACTAAGTGCTGCTGCCAAAGCCCTCAGGAAGACCATATTTGGTCGGCTGGCGCCATAAAATGTTTGAATCCTTATGAAACCTAATCAAAGCCATGGCATTGGTCTACTGAACAGTTAAATTATCATTTATAGCACGAAACTAGTGTAGGACTGCTTGCATGTATGCGAAACAAAATATTAAAAATCGAGCCAATTTTCGCCAATGCAAGGACAAATTCAATGAATATATTGTTAAGGTAAAGAGGTTTTGGAATATCGTTCGTTTCGAGTCGCTCGAGAGTGAATAGCAATAAGAGACCTTATAAAGCAATTGTAGGTTGTATGCAAACATTCATCAAATAAACTTTTTAACACTCTGCTAGCTGTAAATTCTCGCCCGCTGATTGGCTGATAAGTGTGTGCGTCAAGAAGAGGACACAGTGCTGACGCCATCACGTCTCGTGTGCGCTCTGTTGAAATAAAAGAATGATTTTGGCTTATTTTAAAACTTAAAATGTGGTAAAAAGCACGGTTTTTTAGTTGCATGTCCTCTTATTGACACACTCTCGCTCCGCTCGTGAGTTTTGAACATTTTATTATGTCAAGAGTGTCAATAGACATACAACTCAAAATCGTGCGCAATTTGTTAAATAACACTCGAACAGATAATAATTATACTTTATATTGATATATTGAAAAACACATATACTGATTACATAACATGCTATTTTGCCGATTTTTRTCATTTTTCATAAGCCCACGAAGCTATTTAAAACCATCTGCACAACCATCTGCACAACTTTTATTGTGATTCATTCAAACAGAATGCTCATATTTGTGATTCCAAAATTTCTGTCATGAATTTACCGAAAAACAAATCAATCAAATCTTTGTTCATAATCATTGGCCATTCCGAAATTCAAAAGGAGACTGGGAACGAGTGTGAAAATATTACATGCATCGAAAACACATGCTCACCACATGAAAGACTACACTAAAATTGTTCTTGTCAAGTTTGAGCAGATTTGGTTGAATACTCACCGAGTAGGAATTTTTTTCAAATTTGTAAAAATAAGAGCGAATGTATGGTTTTTGGGACGCTGCTCAAAACCTCCATACATTCTTTGTAATTTTTTCGAGTTTAAAACGCTTTAAACGGTTTAATTATTAATCCGAATACACTCAAACTCAGCAGCTGTAATAATTTTAGTATGCTCTTTCTTGTGTCCTGGTGTTTGTTTTTTGATTGCTTCAAACGGCATCGAGTTTGTGACTAGTCATCAGTCCCTTTTTGAAGTTCGGAACGGGCAATTCTTTACAATTTTGTGGATTTTCAATTATATATTACAATATTCAATGATTCGTAAAAAAAGCATGTGAATGCTTATAYATTTTAGAACCCTTCTATAATATTTAAATAATTTTCAAAATGGTCATTAATTTATTATAATTCAGACAAAAATWATAAAAATAAGCTCTAATCAAATTTTGTATATATCTCAACAGTAACAAAAGTGGTGTGCGTATACTAAGAGGTTATTAACCGCAGGCTAGTAACGAGGTCTTGGGATCAGGGATCAGCGTCATTTTTTGGACTATTCTGGGATCAGGGATCAGGATTTAGGCCCAGGATCCGGATCAAATGGATTTAACCTGGGATCAAAGGTTTTTCAACTGGGATCGGGATCAATGATTTTTTTCAACGATTCTGTATGGGGATCAGGGCTCAAAATGTACGGAGTTTTGGGATCGGGATCACGTTTTTAGGCCGTTTTGATCCGGATCAACAGCAAAAAAATATACCTCGTTACTAGCCTGTAACCGAGTAGCGCGAGTTCTGTACGGGAAAATATCAGACCGAGGTCTCGACAGTACCGAGGTCTGATATTTTTCCGTACAGATCGAGCAAGCGAGGTTAATAACTCGTTTATTATATGGATTTTACATCGTAGATTATGTAGAAGAATTACGAGAAGAATGTAGAAGTATATAGGACTGAAAAGTCTCACTGGTTAACTTACAACCCGTTGCCTCCCTGATATCTGATAGCACCGCTTTTCTCTAAACATCGCACGATATGAGTGATAGGAGTGATATGAYATGAYACAGAAATCAKCATATTTTCAGTAATTGTCTGMTAAAAAGACGGAGATTTTGGCTCCTTGTGTCATGGATTCAGTTTATTTTCATACACAATACATTATTATTACAGCTGATTCTTCCATTGTCGCGGCCGCCGGTGTAGATTTGTTTACTTTTTAGAAGTGGATGTCCCTCACAATATAGAATTACAATTTTCTTTTTCAAGCAACCGAGGAGTTATGCATCGCTTGGTTATGCATTACTTGGTAATTATTTTCCAAGACCTACCCGACGGTTTTTTCAATATATTTTAATGTCATTAATTTCTTCAACTTTCCAAACAGCAGTAACGCTAACAGCAGGCACTGATTTATTAGGTTGAAATTGAATTTGAAAATTTGTAGCTGCAACAGATGTTAGGCAATAATTTGTGATTATTTGAATGATCTGTACTATCAAGCAGACGCAGTCCAAKAATACAAACAGGCATTGTCAACAACTGAAGCAACGATAAACAATAACAAAAGAAAAAAAAAGAAAGCAACAAAGAAAAAAAAGATGGCTAAATCCACCTTCATATGCCGCCACGCGGCTTCAAAATACAGATCATTCTTTAGTCACGTGTACCTTTGCGCATCTCACTAGACAGAAATAAGATTAGCTCTTGTGGCGCCCTTGGAGAAAAACGTRMAGCAATATGACAGCCTTTTCGACGACAACCAGTTAATAAAGAAATAGCTAGCATTATTAGAATTGTGATATGGTAAAAACAGCGGGAAAACAAATATATTCAAGCGTGTAATAATTTCTTCGAAYAAAAATGAAAGTCGATCAGCTCATTTTATTCCCAGCAAGAATGCTTTGAACATCCTGCTAATATGAACATCTTTCCTCTGTTAATATGAACATCTTTCCGAGTCAATTAACCTTCGGCTTATTATGGTGGACTTCAAAAGAGCGACCATAAGGTGTGGTTTCATATTGACTTTAAATAGCAATTGGAAATTTTCTTTATAACTATATATTTGAAAAAGCAAGATAAAACAGCGACACTACAAGACTGAGAAAACTAGAACAGCATATATTATTCAGTGAAGGGGAATCTCAAATGTATAGTATTTCAATCTTCTCTATTGACGAAATATTGGATACTGTTTTTCCCTGTGCAAAGATAGCAAAGCCATCAGAAACTGACTTTTGCGG